GGGTGGTTTTATACAGATGCAGCGGTTTTAAACTTCTCAGTGACTGACATTGAACAGCGGGGAGTGACGGCCTTTGTCCTTGGTTTAGTAAGTTTGATACTGAGTCCAATTGATGATGCACTGCAATGTGAAGTGGTCTTGAAAATGTTTTTGGTCTTAACCTAGGAAACAGTCAGTGCTAATGGATTAGAATTTAAATTCTCGGCATTAGCTTTACACTCGAGGAAGTGGGAAGCCATCCCTAAATATTTCACACAAAAAGCACTTTATGGGGAATTTGTTTTAGGGGCAATTTATAAAGGATCTATTGAGAAACTGGACTGTTATCGACCAATCAGAATATATCAGAAACAGACCTGTTTTACAAATTTCGCAAATGTAACCGACAAACCAAGGACGACGGTCCAGGTTGGAAGGGCTACGACCACTGCCGAGTAAGATTTCATGTTCTTGGGAGTATTGCCGAATGGTGCGTAGCTACTATTTGTCCATAGGCCTTTCATCACGCCGAAAGTACAACAAAAGCGTAGCAGCATTAGTTAAGGAAACTTAGGTGATACATATATACGCACGCACATACATACTGTCAGCGACCGATCCCGTGAAATGTTGACTGGGATTCTGAAACGGGTTTTTTATTGGAAAAGATAGCTTAAGTAAAGCCGTGATATTAATTACCATGCGGTCTAATCCCATAATATTTCTGACTCGCCAGAGTATTAGTTTTCGAATGCATTTCCTTTTAGCTTCCTATAAAACATCGCTCGGTAAGGAGTGGCCATTTGATTAGTACGCATTTTATGCACTCATTTGCGATGACCTTATTGATTAAAATATATTTTGCGGAGAATAGGCACAAAATATGTTTTCTTTTAATCTCTTGGCAGTACATCAAGTATCCTTTATATGTTGTACTCGAAAAAATGCATATTCATATCTTGTAAGTTTTCGGATTTGCGAATACTTTATAGCCAAATCGGCGATTGCATTAAAATTTCATCCTTAAAATTGCAATATTCTTCTGTGCCTTTAAGAAGATACCATATTGGGTTCAGAAACTTTTGTAATGGATGCGGACTAGGTTGCATACTCTACGAAAAACATCGATGGACGGAGAGGTACGATGGTATATGAATGAACTTTGCACGGCCTTAAATATCTTCCTATTAGGAGCATTAGAAAAAGAGAATAGTTCTCCTCCTTTAAAGGTAAAATGTGAAGATGACATGATTGGCCGCGAAATGAGTAGACAAAAGCATGTTATCTGTAAAATATTTTCGAATTGATAGGGTCGACGAAAATCCTTTCAAAAATGCGTACTAATTAACTAGTGATGCGTTATCGAGTACAGCTTTTACGGGAAATCGAAAAGAAATGTGTTCAAAAGCCAGCATCCCAGCACGTTCGACATAGAATAGGCATTTGCCATTAGACGATCATTATTTCAACCCCACCTAAGTAATCCTTCCTAATCGAAAACGCATCTCAGAATTTCGGCTGGCATTTCATGAGATCGATACATGTGTATGCATATGCGTACCGGTATATCCATTGTTCTCCTAAAGATCCTAAAGAATACAGTCTTCACATATTATGACCTTAATCAAGGAAAGTTTGCTGATGTGCTTTTTGCGCATATTGTTTGCTGGTGTCAAGCAGGCTTTAGTTTCAAAATGAATGAGCCTTGGAAACGGAAAATCAATTCCTGGCTAACCAACACTCCTCTTTTACGTGTGACTTCGAAGTGCGCGTAAGTCTTCCGAAACGGAGATAATAATGTCCCAAGGCGCATACGCCAAATCGAATCGTGAGGTGGACAGCAGTCTGCAGTCAGCATTAGAATGTCCGCGCTGAGCTTAAGCAAGTCACAGTTATGTCTGATGCAAAAAAGTTTACGCCAATCAAGTTGCTGCGCCAAATTTGATTTCCAGTCGTCCTGACTCGAGCAGGTCATGTGGCAATTATGTGGCTGATCCTACCGCATCATTTCCCAAAACAAATTGGTGCATCCCCCTGCGCGATATATCCGCTAAGTGTAATACTATCTCGGCATGTACAAAACCGCAACTTGGAAGGCGGTTTTATGTCACTTCAGCCTCTACGCACAGTAGCACAGCTCATTTACTGGACACAGAGGCCGTGGCCGCTGGCAAAGCCACGGCTGTTGTTGACTGCGTCCAGTCATGCCTGAGAGTCTGAGACAGTGGTAGTCGCTGCTTTCTAAGGCTCGTGGGGTAAATTTGACTGGTGTCCAATTGGTGTGTGTGTGTTGATTTGTTGGGGGGTGGTCTTCCGGTGGTTTGTATTGCATTCGCGGGCAGTGGGGGGAGTTCAAGTGGTGCATGAACGGGCGTGACTCTGTGGACACACTTTCGTCCGAGTTGATGTTGGTGGAATGGCTGCTGGCCAGCACGTGTGGAGCCGCTCGCCGCGAAGGTGAGTGAACATGACGCAACAAGGTCTTGAACAAGGACGCCAGACATGACCACGATGGCTGTAGGCAAAGGAGGAAATACTTGTCGAACCGCTACGTTGGCACTCAGATCCACGTGCAGAAAACCACTTTCGGTGAAGCTGTTTGTGTGGTATGTCACAGGTTTCAGCGATTTGTTTAAATATAGTAGACCGCAATATTGGAACAAAATGCAATTTAAAACCTAATAACCAAAACTGTTTAACTAATTCTTTTCTTTAAAAGAAGAAAAAAATTAAAAGACTACGGCGCCTATACATTGGTGTGTGGATATGAAAGCAACAGTCTCTAAAAAAATTAATTGCAGCATATTAAACGAACGTATGCCAGGACTAAAGGCTGCCGGCAAACTGTATCAGGCTGTGAATTTTAATCTTTGTCTGCCATGTGAATCAAATTACATGTTAACTTACTCTAAATGTGTTGTTTGTCGTCTAAGCAAAGATGGCTAGGTATGCAAACAGCAGCTTTGAACATTTGTCATCATTTTACGCCGTTATCTGTTATGCATTTAAATGACCTGGCAGAATTCAAATGTTAGTAAATACATACGGTACGTGGCCTATCTCGTGAGATGATAACTAAAATTCGGTTTGTAATTAGACCGAATTACTTAGATGAGATGGTGATATTCATCATCATTCACGTCAGGGTACCACGTTTTGAATGAATTTACTTCTAATCAGCTGCAAAAACCCTACGCGGCATAAAATCTTGGTCGAGAATTGGTCCTGCGGCCCCACCTGAGGGATACCACACGGTTAGCTTTCTAAAAAATCTCAGTAGATGCGGGCACGCTGACTTTACAAATATCATATGCTTGCATCTTCCCTACAACTTTAATCCAGCGAGTGACTGCGTCACGGCGGGATGAGTGGGTATGCGCCAGTCTCTATTACCTCAGGTATCAGTTCACACGCGCTTCCCTCCGCGCGTGCTTCGAGCCCTGTTTGTGCACTCTTTACTATCTCGTTCCAGCGAACGACTAAGTAGTCTCGTTAATGGGATTGTTCGGACGGCCTGGAACTCCGTCTGTTCCACTACAGTGTCAATCCACTGCAAATTACCACGCGGTTCCCACGGTAGCCTTTTAGTTGTGAATGCGTCTTCCTTATCCCCTCAGTTCAGCGAGTGGCTGCGTCGGAGGGGGGGGGAAGATTACATACACGCCACCTTCACCCGCTTTCTGGCCTCTACTTCGCGCTCTGCATGCGCTCCCTCACTTCCTACTTCAGCGAGCGGCTAATATTGCTTTAGTAAACTAACCGCATGATATCACTTAGATGGGGATACAGAACCAAACCTTGCCTAAAATTGATTATGCAGCATGAGTTATTATTATTATTGATTTTCGATGTCCTTCAAAATTTAAGTGCTCCTTTTTCGGCAAACATGTCAAAAATGTTCCTTCTTTGCATTCACTTAATAGAAAACCACGTCTTCTTCAAATTTTATACTCACTGATGAGTGTCATTCGGTTTTAAAAACGTCCAATCTGCCCGGTTAACATTGATGTTTATGAAGCGTACAACGTAGTCCACATCAGTTGAAGCACGTTATGAGCGATATATGACCTCCTAGGATAGTATAATTTTCTTTACGTGGAAAGTATAAAGCATGCAGTTAAAACTTTAGACGCATGTACAAACACGGACCCAGTTCAAGGTCATTCAGGAATTGCGAGTTTTCAAAATTTAAAGGCACCCCTTGTTGGGTAAAAGAAGAGATATTTTATACACGCTCTCCGTAAAATATATTTTGAATTTAATAAACATCGAGAATCAGTGGAAACAATGGTAAAGCGTCAAACTCCATGACCAAAGAGTCCGGGTTCGAATCTCAAGTGATCCACACTTGGGGTTGGGTATGACTGGCTGATGACGTCTAATAAGCCAGAAATGGCCATTCCGGTCTCCCTTGTCTTTGTCGGTATCACCTTATTAACATATATCCCTAATCGCTGTGCGACTGCCTGCGAGGGTTTAAGTATGAGCCTCAACGCACAACAGAACGAGCATGTTCTGTAACCTGATCGGTGAGCGCCCATCTGTCATAATAAGTAGTTGTGTTATACCGAGTGAGGCTTTTTCGGACTGTTTAAAAGAAGTTAATTGAAAAAAGCGGGCGTCTTCGTGTGACTGTAATGCTCTGGTATTTTTTGTACGACGGTAAGTATTACAATCACACCTAGGTGGTCTTATCTGACTGAAAACAGATTTCAGAATATTAGCTACAATCTAATGAGGTGGACCGGTCACTTCATCATGTTAAGTCTGTCAATACTGACAGGACCTAACCAAAGTATTGCTATTGGCTTTCATGGACTGGATATACTCATATTTGGCCACGATTTTTTTAACAAATCAGACCTACCTACTGACTTATAAATCTTCCTTTTCCTTTTCCAGTCCCATTGATGTGGATCATTTACAGCGTCCTTCTATTAAGCTTTACGAGGGTATACTGCAGTTGGGATTATTATGGCAACATTGATACGCACTTCGAACCATATTTTTATATATCGAAGATGCAAATGGGCAATGGAGTCGAAATCCAAATGCAGACAAAGGACTTCTACAGAGTTCATGGAGTTGACGTTGAGACCGTACGTGGCAGTTTGCAAACTCAATAACTTAAAATCATATTAATTTGCTCAATTCGTTCATGGCAAATAAAGCATTACCATGTGCATGCATCCGGTTCCCAAAAATAAGTCTGGTAGAAATAAGTTACGCAGCCTCACTGGGTTTAATAGGCATAACCAACTGTTACATCTCGCTAAGTATGCCTTGTTTGGTCTACTAATTCAGAGCTACAGGGTGTCTTCCATTAGGTTTTATCTAGCGCGTTGATATAAGCGCATGCAACTAGTTGATTCACTATGACCTTCTTTAGTGATAAATTATGTGACATGAGGTGGCCTTAGGCGTTCGCTCCTCCACTTCGTAATTCACTGTGCCTTACCGTAATTTTCTAGTCTTCCCAATGCAATTGCATTGACCAATCCTTGTCGATTCTTAACTCCGTGACTTACTTATTTCTTCCAAAAGAGTAGCTAAACCCTTTCATAACATATCGGTACTCACCATAAAACGCGTGCTGCTAGGATCGCCGGTTGCATGTTGATTAACTTCGCATCGGTGGGTACAAAAGTGCTCGAATACCTCGACATCTTCAGACGGTGTCTGCTGTAGATGGCGTACCCCGTGATTTATTTACTTCCGCAAGAATACTCGTGCCTAGCCCTTTACCGAAACAATAATAAGGCGGGTAGATTTATTTGAGTTTATGTAAAAACATTTTCTTAAAAGTGGTCGTTGAATCGCCGACAGACAAATGTCCTTCGTGTTCCGCGTTCGGGAAGCTGTTTTACCGGGTATGCTTTGCAGTATGTAACAGGAATATGCCCCATGTTTTACCACTGTCAATGAGTGACTAATCTCATGAAATGTTGACCGAAATCCTGCAAAACGTTTTCGATTAGGAAGGAATACTTAGATGGGGTTGTAATATGGATCATTATACGACATAATCATATGGCATTTCGGACTCATCATGATGTCAGCATTCAAATGAACTTCCCTTCGACCTCCTGTGGAAACCGCTCTCGGTAAAAAATTACTGCCTAAGTAGCATACATTTTTCACGTTGATTTTTAATCGCATTATAAATTCAAGTATATTTTATGGAAAACATGCACAAAATATGCTTTCTTTTCTTCGTTAAGTAGGACGTTATGTTATCTTCACATTTTATGTTCGAAGAAAGGATATATTTAGGTTTTGTAAAAGGGTATTAATTCCTAAATAATTTTGAGCCTGATCAGTCGTTGCATTAGGCATTAGTGATTTCAATCTACAAGGTGCATGAATTCCGCGAAAGGAAAATCACATATCCATCCACGTTCTCAAGATAATACCATATAGAACTCGTAGATTTGAAAAGAATGACATGCTCACTAGATCACTAGATTGTTGACCTTTTGGAGAGCTTGGCTGGCTCTTCATTGCCAAAGCATTTAGTGCAAAAAGCAACCAGAATTTTAAATAAACGGCCAAATTACTGGGCCTTGACCGATCGATTTTTTCTTCTTTCGCTGCTTTAGCCCTCTGAGCATCGCATGTGGATGTTGGTGGTCTCCTGTGTGGGGGATGTCGTCACCTCATTTGAGGTTGGTTGCGTCTGTTTTCCCTTTTGGGTGAATTAGTCGACGGACCGTGTTTGCCCAGTATACGTAAGCTCCGTGTGACCGTCTTGTCCTGGTCATGGCGTATGTAGTGACGTAGGATGTTTTAAGCTGCAGGAAGGCCTAGATGCCCGTTGATAGAATTGGAATCTGAGTACCAAGCCTCAAGTGTGAGAGGTTCTGTCCTTGACGTGCCCCAGCCCAGGACAGGTGCTCCTTGAAAATCAAAACTGTGGCCAGTTTCACCGATGTGAGTCGCTTGATGTGAGTTGGTATTTAGTCTTTGAGATGCCAGCTTGTGCTTATGTTGGCCACAAGAAGAACAACCTGAAGTCTCGAGGGCCATTCCCTACGTTAAAGGGGTTTCCGAGGCGGTGCCTCGATTGTTACAAGCCGCCGGAGTAGGCACAGCCAATCTACACCAGGCAACATCACAACGTTGTCTGATACAACCCAACGACATACTGGCACCCACTGAAACGTCAGAAGTTGTTTATTAAATACGTTGTGACGATGAAGACTTCCATTACGTTGGGGAAACCGGACGGACATTGCAGACCCGCGTTCATGAGGTAACGACGCACAACACAGGAGACCACCAACATCCACAAGCGATGCTCAGAGGGCTAAAGCAGCGAAAGAAGAAAAAATCGATCGGTCAAGGCCCAGGAATTTGGCCGTTTATTTAAAATTCTGGTTGCTTTTTGCACTAAATGCTTTGGCAATGAAGAGCCAGCCAAGCTCTCCAAAAGGTCAACAATCTAGTGATCTAGTGAGCATGTCATTCTTTTCAAATCTACGAGTTCTATATGGTATTATCTTGAGAACGTGGATGGATATGTGATTTTCCTTTCGCGGAATTCATGCACCTTGTAGATTGAAATCACTAATGCCTAATGCAACGACTGATCAGGCTCAAAATTATTTAGGAATTAATACCCTTTTACAAAACCTAAATATATCCTTTCTTCGAACATAAAATGTGAAGATAACATAACGTCCTACTTAACGAAGAAAAGAAAGCATATTTTGTGCATGTTTTCCATAAAATATACTTGAATTTATAATGCGATTAAAAATCAACGTGAAAAATGTATGCTACTTAGGCAGTAATTTTTTACCGAGAGCGGTTTCCACAGGAGGTCGAAGGGAAGTTCATTTGAAAGCTGACATCATGATGAGCCCGAAATGCCATATGATTATGTCGTATAATGATCCATATTACAACCCCATCTAAGTATTCCTTCCTAATCGAAAACGTTTTGCAGGATTTCGGTCAACATTTCAGGCGATCAGTTACTCAATATACTCTGCTCATCAGTGCATTTAAACATTGCACAATTCCTTTGCATATATATTTTGATCTTTTCTAAATTTATAAAATTACGTCCCTACATGCACGAATTATGCAAATAAAACATTTGGTCATACCTAACGTATTTGACCTTTTCGGTGTTCATTATGATGTATTTCCACGGCTCCTCTAGCATTCATCTGCATCGCATTACCTCGCAGTAAATGTAGACAGTTACACAATGTGGCACCTCCTATTTGTCTCTTCTATTGGTTGTTCATTCTGTTAGTTCCGGGCCTGCTCCAAATTTGTAAGCACCGGTCTATTCAAAGACATTTTCATGTACTGGAAGTTGCTTTCGTTTATTTTTCTAATTAACACGCTTCATACCATTGCCATATCTAGGCGCAGGAGAAAAATTTAAATTAAAATCGATTTATCTGTTATGTTTTATTACGTTCACTTCATTTCCTCTCTGCGTGTTGCCTCACCCGTAAAACCCTATTACCACCATTCGAGATCCGAAGGTACCGGTTGCGAGGTGGGGTCACACAACTTACCGCTACCGCTGTCAAAGCTAGTCGAACTGCCTTTAAATTGTATCATACGCACACTACAGTTGGACAGTCGATTTCGGCGATGTCTACCATTTATCCCACAGTACTGTGAGATCAGGGTCAGTTATAACTCTCTGCACTGTTCGAAGAGGAGTGATAGCGGATCGTCTGAACGGTAGACGACTGAATTAACGGTCATTGAATTGAGACTGGGGTGATGTGCAATGTGTCGACATCTTAGGCCCTCTTGATGGACGTCTGTGTCAACGTGCGGGATATTTTTCGTGCTTCTGTATTAAGCCTGGAGAAATCATATCTCTCGTTTTTTTTGGTCATAGCTATGGCCTCGGGATCGTCCCATTTGAATCGATTGTTGCAAACGGGTTTATGCGAAAAGCCGAAAAAACAGAAGGCCAAGCCGACAGATAGTTGGTTTGTGTTCGTTAGTATGAGTGCCTAGGTTGTCACCAGACTTGCAGCAAACATGTAGTCTTGAGTTTATACTTTGCTGACACCAAGCCGCCGTCTGATAACATAAATATATGAAATGTGGGATTCTCACTTCTGATTGTTTGGGGTCATAGAGTGCACATTAGTAGATTATGTGTTTGTGGACTGGATGGCATGATCAATAGAGTGCATGTATACAGCTTTCTGTGGCGTAGAGCGGGTCGATGGAACTGCGGACGGCCAGTAAAATTCGTATTCACCCTTTTCACATACTTGTGCCACATTCCGGTAGTAAATCTTCATTGCACCTCATATGTACATATTCGCTTCACTAGAACGTGAATTTTAAAAAACCTGTAAAGAACGTAAATTCGTAAATAAAAACAGCAAGTTTAACAAGATCTCTACCGCGAGTTATAGATGGAATTGTGAGTTTCCCGTAGGCGTAAGTTTGTAGGCACATTGCTTCCTCAATTGTCTGGGTTTCGTAGGATTACCCAATTAAATACTTTCGCTGTATCAAGAAGGTATCCCTCCCGGCTGAGAGGTCGGCTAGGCATAATCGTCATTGATCGTCATAAATGTATTCCGACAACTCGTGCATCGACCGGCACATCGCATTAGATGCAATCTCAAATAAAAGTGGAATTTGCGATAACCAGGCAAAACGTGATACAAACCTACGGTAAAAACAGACTTGCAAGAGTGCCAGAGCAATATAGATTTTAAGGAATGCTTAAATTGTAACTGCTGTAGACAATAGCTTCACGTATGAGTATTCCCTGGGGAACCAGAGTCGAAATGAGCTTTGTCATCTTTCCCAAAGGATTTATTTCCTTCGAATTACACTTCACAGAAGGCCCGCTTTCTAATTCATATATAAAGATGTAAAAACTCGAATATACTGCTTTTCAAGCCACCTATTGCCATAGTTCCGTGTATGCGTTCTCACGAACACTTCCCATGTTGTAACTATCGGACAGACTGCAAGAAAAGAGGTACACGCGGAGGTGAACGGTAACCTCATTCGGATTCCAAATCCCCCCGAGTACGTTTGCCTAACCTTTCGGCTGGAGGGCGGTTCCGTCGCAAGAAGATGCCTTTTCGTGGAGAGACTTTATAGCCGGATCGATATGTCTTTTAATGTACACGTTGAAAGGCTAAACAATCCTCTGCAGTCATACAAAATTCAGTGGCGAGCTTCAGAGGAAGAAAACTTTGGCGTACTTGTTTACAACACGTAAGTTGGTCGATTTGCATAGACGCACTACTCGTGCGCCATTTTTTAAACCTACGTGCACAAAGTATAACGTAAAAGGGGGGAATAAGTACCCTGGATCCATAAACCCTGACGCCTTGCGATCCAAAAGTATACAAACTTACCTCATTGGAGAGCTTGTGCGTTGATTATGACCGTGTCGGCCAACGGTTCCTTGTATTCATTCTTTTCTTCCTCATATTCCAGCACTACAGCCTTCGCTCACATCGACGTGATACGAGGTATGGCTGTTTGGAGGCTGTAGACAAATGCTAAAAGTGCGGGCATGAACAGTAACAATGGACTCGGCCAAGTACTTTAATCACACTGAGTTGTTTGAATAAAATCAAGCAATTTTCGGACTAACCATTGCGCTGCTCAAGCTGTCGCGTTCCAGTTCGCGTCTTAGAGCTAAACCCTGGCCGAAGACAGGTCGACAGGGGACGAAAAATAAAATTTGAATGGATACAGATGGGCAAAGTTTTATCAGTCATTTACGTCAGCGGACTAGAGGACAAGCTACGGAGTAAAATGTGGGATGAGTTCAAAATTCACTTCACAGTCAGACAAGCTTCCATCGTCAGAAAGTGTGGACTTTGTCTGTCGTCAAGCTGGTCTGCGGGTCTATAGATTCCCACTTCTCTGTGTATCTATGCGGACGCTGTAGATTAATGCCTAAAGAGCGAACACCAAAATCTCCCTCTGTTCCGGCCGCTCAGTCAAATCTCACAGTGTATTCGTACTGAAAAGATTTTCTTTCGACCACATGATCGGTAAACAAACTCTTGCACCCCCCTGAAAGTGGAGTGTTCGCTGTCCATTGAGCACAGACAATGCGTCCGTCTACGATGGCCAAAAATATGACGGTGCAACCGAGCGCTTTCATCATGCCTGATAGAAATGGGCGTAGATCACTCTGCAAGATAGAAGGTGGCCCTGTATCGTAGCATTATAACTATTGTCCACTAGAATAGAAACAAGATGGGGAAGTCTGTGAACAGAAACCAAACATGTTCCAAACGCAGGAGACATGGTACGCTAAGTGCAAATCGAATGATAATAACTGGAAGTAGTTATTTCTTTCTTCAAATCTAAGTGACTACTAGACAGCTTAGGGCGTTGGCAGTAGGTTATACGACGGCAAATACTGCCCACAGGTTTATTTAGATGTCGCACATAAAATAACGTCCAACACCATTCGGCCAAAGTCGACAAATTTTAAGCCAGAAACCTGGAGGAATCACTGTTATTTAGGATAAATCCGGAAACCTTCGCAGTAGAAGTGGGAGGATCCAAAATGACAATTCATACGCATTCTCTTACACCGAAAATGGACATATCCGACTTCGTGGGATAAAGATATTCCCGCGACCCCCTATGGCTTTTCACTTATAGTGAATAAGTCTGTCTCAAAACATGCCTCCGTAAACACAGTGAAATTCCCTCCCCCGATTTAGAAACATTACTCATTTTATCACAGATTCAACGGGAGAGTGGCGTTCACCGATCGTTTTCTACGGAATTCACTCGTCCCGTTGAGTTTTACGGGCTCTCTCTAAAGCCCAATCAGCAGCCGCACAGCGGCGCATAATATAGGCAGAATGATATTACCGGTAATAACATGCTTAATAAATATCTGTTTAAGTCCTACTTTTAATACCGACCGTCGGTCATCCCTTGGACGTGTCTATGTGTCTTAGCAAATCAGTTGAGGTAAAAGACGACAGCTCTGCTCCATCCGATATTTAGGTCGGACGGACGACTAGCATTTTAAACCTCGAACAATTTCCAGCTGACATTGTCGGCTCATGAAAAATAACTTCTTACTAGAGTCCTATCACCCTCCCTAGGACACACATGAAACAGTTTATCCAAAAGACGTCCTCCACTGCACTGTATAATCTTCGTCCTGGCACAACCTACGTTATCTGCGTCTCCAGTAACGTCGGCAGGCTACAAATTGCATGCACACATTGGAGAACGAATAATTCGGGTTTAGACACCGAAAGCACCGACTCCGCCAAAGCTTTGCAGATACCTGTGGCACTCAGCGGACTGGGCGACACTTGGTCTCACCTCGTCTGGGAACCGCCCATAATCTACAAAAGGGGCTGGATCTTGGCTCCAGAGGCTTACCTCCTACTTGCTCAGCCAACGGGTTCCAAATGTCCAGACCGGACAATTCTGATCTTTACAACTCCGGTACGTTTCAGTCACCAGTTTGCGATGACAATATGTCGAACCTGCGTTTTGCAAGAATATGCCAACTAAAATAATCCCTAATCAACAAGGTAGAGAAACGTGCAAGGCAGCATCCACTTCGTCAAATTAGTTCTCTTTTACTAATTAATAACTATAACCAGTTGTCGCATTTCATAAAGTACATTCTGTCATTGTCAGACAGACGGAAGTTTTAATAGTTTATTGCGGTATATCGAACACGCGGGCGGGAAGGTGAAGAAGAATGACAGAGTGAAAGAGTAGCCAGCAGGATTTAAACGGACGACCGCGTGTTTTTTGGGGATATTTTCTTTCCTACTTTCATTCCCAATCGGTGGGAATATATAGAGGAGGTGCTGTTTGTTGAACTGTTGTCGTCCAGTCAGTCTTGGGCTCTTCCTTTGTTGCAGAGTGACAATGAGGTCGTAGTATGCAGTAGGACGTCGTTGTTGGGAAATTCGTAGGTTCTTACTGTGGAACACCGTGGTTCCCGTAGTCCACGGACCTGGAGCTGACTGGAATGCACTTATGTGTTCCTAAAGCAAGTTATGCTCTTAGTGCGCCGGCTCAACACAGAGGCTATATTTTAGTGCGATAGGCATTATTTGGGAATGCTAATCCACAACAAATACCAATACTGCAATGTGGTGACACACCTTCCCTCATTTGCATTGTGATGCAAAATCCTGGTCAGTATACGTTGCGGACCAGCGAATGTGTTGGTACGCCTAGGTGCGGGTTTTGTCCGTGCCAGGAATCCGCGTCCTCTTCTGCCTCGGGCCTTCTTGACTCTGCCTTGACACCAGATTCAGGTGGAAGAGGAAAGAGTGCGGAAGATGATGTGCAAGTTACCGTCCTTGACCTTATTCTGCTGTGAAGCATGCGGTGGACATGGTCGGCAGCCATGGTCAGACCGTTGTGGGATACATTGCTGCGATTTCAATAAAGCAAAATATAAGCTACATAACAGAAATTGCTGAAAAGGCAGATACAACACATGTGTATACTACCAGCTGCCCGCCAGTACTTTGCGAATACTACTTGGCCTAAAACTGACAAGGTTAGTTCAGACTGATTTACTTAACGTAAGCGACTAATTTCTAAGGAAATTAAATTGCTGCTATTCCGGACCTTGACTATTTTCCGGAAAGCAAACCCACTTATGAACCGAACCCCAGCATCTGTGTCACGCAGCGGTAGAATGTTGGTGAAGCACGTGTCTGGCTGTCAGCTAGTACCTGTGCTATCAGTACGGTAAATTACGCAACATAATTGTACAGTAGGATCGGTGTGAGTCTGATAACCGCTCTTTCGAGAATGAGAAGTTCAAGGGGATATTAAAAAGTAAATTACGCATTTTCCAACCGCGTGAAAGGTATTGCTTGTCCTTACCACACTATGCTTGAAGTGAGTGAATAAAGTTCAGTTGTAAAGAAGATATGACGTTCGCATGATTCTGCATTCGACGACAGCATTTTATGCTTCTCCTTCTAGGCTGATGAAGGCACAAAGACGATCATGGCAGCCGTTCAGGCAATTAAGGACGTATATTTTGAGCACTGCGTGGACATAACTATGACAGAAAGTCGTCTTTCCTGTAGCTGTTCGTCTGATGACAGACCTGTCTGGATCGATGGAATTCCCTACAAGAACGTGGCCAGGAAAAATTACTCCTTTGAATTCACCATCCGCGGCCTAGAGATAAACAGGCTCTACAATTTTACAGTCATTCCAGTTCTTCCATTTTTCCATCCTTCAAGGTGGCTTTACACGCATGTCTCGGTTTTCGGGCAGACAGGCAAGTTTTGCTGCATTTCTTTCGACGTAAAAAGAATGCTCATCGGACGCAGTCGTATGATAGTTTATATGTCGCAAGTTTTGACGTGTGTGCAGGCATGACTTGCCCGTGGGCTTATTTACGGAAAACCCACATATTGCAGAATCCACCTTACGTACTGTCTCGAAGCTACGACGTCCCTTTAATTAGTCAAAACGACCAGAGGTGGGCGTAGATGCGGGGTATAGCAACGCTAAACAATTCATCTGCGTATGACGTAAGTTCGTGCTTTTAATTCAGACGTATGAAGCCAAAATTTGGCGCGGGTAGAGATTGCATCATGTCTACTTCAATACTTGAAGAGGAAGACACGATCGCCGGGACAGGAGTTTTATTAGCCTGGCGTTTCGGATTCCTGCTAAAACCCGTCATCAGAGACAAAAGAAGGTGAGGGTGGTTCATGCAAATGCGGCTGCAGTATTTATAGGATGCAGTAGCCATACTACCGCATACCTATGCATCAGGGGTCGTTGCCCGTGGCGTGATGGTCGAGATTCGCGTCGTTAATTGCTGCAATTTCATCACTTGTGTTGGATGTTGGCGTGATGATTGCTCGACCATCTGACGCATCGATCTTGGTGCTGGCAGAAGTGTTCACCTGTGCGCTCCCCGCATGGCCAATTACTCCGCCTAGACGAAGTCTCAGCACAGAGTATTGAACGGGAAGATCATTGCACCTGTTAATAGACTGAGGGCCGGTAAACCATGACTCTAGCAGCTCCCGGCTCACCCGGTTGTCACCCCTTGCGAGAATTTCGACCTCGTCGAATTTGAATGTGTGGCCGGAGCCCGTCGAATGAGCCGCAACTTGAGAGCTGGCGTCATTTCTCCGCACCGCTGCAGCGTGTTCAGCCATTCTCGTTCGGAGCTGTCTTCCGGTTTCTCCGACTTAGTTGCTTTGTCCGCAACTGCACCAGATCCGATAAACGACTCCAGGCGTTTCTTGCCGTGGCAGTGGGTCGTTCGGTTTCATTAACCGACGCCTGATGGTTGCCTCCGGCCTGTGTGCAACTCCAACCCCAAGGGTGCGAGATGGCGGCCAACAGCTTCCGAAACGTTCTTACATATGGAAGCGCTCACCAAACTTTGGTGTCCGCGCGGTTAGGCTTTTCGTCTCTTTTGCGTATGCACCGGTTGACAAAGTTGCGCGGGCAGCCATTGGCAACCAGTACGTCTTCACAGTGAAGGGCGAAGCGCCTGTTCAGTCTTCCTCTTCCTTCCCCTTTCCCATGAAACAATCAGGTTTTGGCAAGATTGAACACATTAGTCCACGTAACGTAATGTCACGTGCATTGCGGGTCTCACAAGGATTTGGACCTCTTATATAAGTGAGAAGCCACACGCGCCAAGTAATCCGGAGCCACTGCAGTCGAGTTTACATACCAGACGAGAATCGAGTTACGCCTTCTTCTCGAAATCTCCCAAAGGACGACTTTTGTCGGGCTGTGCTAATTCCAGTCAGGACATATTTAATATAGTAACGAGTGTTGCCATAGAAAGATATTGAATTTCCTATGCATCAATAAAATCTCTAAGCTTTGCAGGTGCAAAGGGTTTAGTTGCATCTGCCTCCATCTACGACAGTCTAGCCGTCATTACCGATGATGCCACGGCATGGAGAGCACAGGAACGTTGAGTTGTGCGTAAGCTACAGCAGATGTGCTAACTCATGAAATGTTTACTGAATTTCTGAAGTGCGTTTCCGACATGAAGAGGATTACTTTAGTAGGGTTGAAACATTACTCTACAGACAGCATAATCCCAAGTTATTTCAGGTACTTCAGGATGCCGACTTCCAAACAATCCTCTTTCCAGGCGCCTGCAAATACCACACTTCCTAAAATTTTGGTAAGATTCTTCTTCGTAGCCTCGCCTGTTAGAGATTAGGGGTTAGGCTAAGGGCTAAAGATTAGAGTTTGGGATTTGTGTTGGGGTTAGTGTTAGGGGTTAGTGCTAAACCGCCTATTAACACCGGCCCCGGCCGGGCTTGTCTACTGTATGTACGGCAAATAAATAAGATCCGGCTGGAGTTTTTCTCATTGACTTCCGGTGTCTTTATATATTCTAATATAATTCTCAGAAAACATGCATAAAATATTTGATGGCAAATTACGTCGTTTTCCCATTTCGTACTAGAAAAAAGGGTGCAATTCGATTTCAAAAGAATGGCTTAATGCCCGAGTGATTTTTCACCCGACCTGTCATTACACTTGCATTCAGGGTTTTCAAAATACAAGTTATCTATTTTTTGTATACGGGAAATCGTATGATCCTATATGTTATCTAAACGACCATGGAGGTTCATAAGTTCAGCAGTGGACTTAAGCCATATTGTAAAGTTTACAAGGAACATTAGTTAGTGCAGAGACACAATGTTTTATAAACGGGCATTTCACAGCCTTTAAAAATCTCATCATTAGAAACCTCATTAAAACCCAATAATACCACTCCTTCAAGCCTACAATCGGAAGACGAACTAATTTTCCAACAAATAAGTAAGGAAATAATTTTTTATTTATGCTTTATATGAAATATACGTGGATTTACATTGACATCGAAAATCATATTAAGTAAGTAGTTATTTTTTGCAGAGTGTAGACGGCCAGAAGGAAGTTCGTTCGGAAGCCGCATCCTCCAGTAACTGCATTTTCATGGCAGTAAGCTGCACGATGATTAATGTTACGACCCTACTTAAGTAATCTTTTCGAGTCGAAAACGCATTTCATAATTTTGGTTGGAAATTTTAATTAATTTAATCATCGAATATAGTTTATAATGATAACGGATTGTTGTTCCATCTACCACACGCATGCACTTGAACCTGGCGTCAAGACGTGGTCAAGAAAACCAAGGTTGAACTCGGGAGCACGTGGCTGGTGCGGCGTGAAACTGCGCCTTGGCGTGTCGACACAGGCTCATGAATGACATTTTATATGAGTACACAGCCCCATAATGCATGCCACACACTAATCTGGCCGCCATTTTTGTGTCCAGTGCAAATCCTGCGTGGCCCTTTTTGGGGCATGACGCGTATCACACGTATGCGCAGCAGTAGGTGAAAATTCACACAAACTCTGCGCAACCCGACGAACTGATCCATTTAATTTAACGGATCGGTAGCGTATCCTGTAAATTGGTGTGCCTTCCAGTCGTGGCAGTCAGTAGTTGCTAGGGTGAGCCTAGGTGTAACTGACAAGAACGCCTTTATTATTACCTGTTTTTCACCTTGAAGAGGGGAGTTTTCGTTGGCACGTCGAGCAGTTTCTTTAAAATGCTATTTCAGTGGACTGTCACTGAAAAACAACAGTACTCAGCGCATCGCAACCTTACCCCGTCCTCTAGTTGAGGGCTCACAGCCCATGCAAACGATGGCATGACACTTAGAAAACAGTACGCTAGCACTCAAGCCTAGCTGCTTGTTGCCATGCTACCGCCTGTGAGACTCTCAGCCGCAGCTCCATGGTAGCACACCCGTTGAATCCCGCAATCCAGACAGACCAGTGCACACCATTCATTAAGACGGTGACTATTAACGACGGAGGCCGATATGGGGTTGACCTCTGGATGCATCGGTTCCAGATGAGGATTGAGCTAGAACTGTTGGAGTTGCTGGTTTTCCGACACTACAGACCGAAATTTTGAGTTCGGCTTATGGATGACGTCTTCGTCTTCATTGAACGGGATCAGGTGCTGATATTCAAAAAACGTCTCATCGTCATCTTCTTGGTAATTCGATTTACGATAGACGATGAAGAAAGCAACCAACTGGCCTTCCTTGGTGTCCTCGTTTGCCGCGGAAATTGTGGTGGGCTAGAAACCGTAGTCTTCCGGAAAGCGATAAAGACGACGCAGGCACTAAATTTCACCGGCAACCATCTGATCGGTCACAAACGCGGCTGCGTATGGGTGCTATGCCGGTGCGTTTAGACGCACTGCAGTGAAAAGGAAGACAAGGTTGCTGAATTACCCTATCTTCGACGGGTACTGAGAGCCAATAACTACCCGCGCATGCTTGTCAGCCAATGCATACGCAGACGAAGCCAGATACAGAGTTCAACTGGGCCTATATTTTAGCGAGCGCTTCCGTACGTGAGAAACGTCTCGGAAGCCGTCAACAGCCTTTTCACTCCACCTAGAATTGGGGTTGCACGCTGGCTGGAAGCAACCATCAAGCGCCAAATCATGTGACCGAAAGATCCGCTGCCATGGCCGGAAACGTCAGGAGTCCTTTACCGGATCTGGTGAAGTTGCGGACAGAGCAAATGCTTTGGAGAAACTGGAAGAGTACTCGGGAAGTGCACGACTGAGCACGCAGCATCGGTGAGGACAAAAGACACCAGTTCTCGGGTAACAGCTCATTTCACGGAACCCGGCCACATTTACAACTTTCAAGCGACCGAAATTCTCGCTAGAGCTGACAGTCATGAGCTGCTCAAATCATGGTTCTCAGGCCCACAATCCATCAACAAGCGCAACGACCTCCGGCTACCATATTCAATGCTGCGACACTCCCTGAGCAGGGCTATCAGTCAGGTGGGGAGGGCGCAGGCGGTCAACTATACTGATGGCAGTGGGCCAAAATGCCGAGTAATCATCACGTCAACATCCGGCTCGGATGATGAAATTGCGGCAGTTAACGCCTCGGACACGGACTGACAAGCTATCATCGCCTTAATTACGACCCCAAGCGAAGATCATGAGTGCTGTTAATTATAGTACGCATGTGGCCCCAAGGCAGCTACGCACTATAAGTACTGCAGTCTTTGTGCCGCCACTACCTTTGTCTGCAACTTTCTCTCAAGATGGGTTCGAGTGAAAATCCGAAGCGTCAGGCGAATAAACTTCTTGTTTCAATGATCGCATCCTCCTCTTCTTCTGAACAGACCTATGCAGTCTGTGCTGTGATAAGCCCACTTGTGCCGTATTAAACTTAGTATGCGATGCCACTTCCATGGGAGTCTGAATTTTCCTCTGCCCTGCAGTGAACCATACGAGCCATTCGCTTAGTGACACACATGACATCTGTCTTCCTTTGACGCATGTTACACGCACGCACGACAGTGAATTGCGATCCACGCAAACTCTTCACAAACCGATAAACTCATTTCGTGGGGTACAGCGGTTCCTACTTTGGTTTAGCGCACCTTTGGCGTAGCCGTAAACATAAAGGGACTAAACGTTTGTATTTTACTCGGTAGGAAGTTTTCCAAGCATTGTGCCTTCCGTAATTTTGCCTGAAAATGGAGGTGCATTCTAACTATGAAAATTTCGCAGACGGTAGATAATTACCACGCTCACCCGTCGTTGATGAACTATTTCATAAAATGTTAACCAGAATTCCGGCAAGCGCTCTCATTTCATAAAGATTGCATAAACAGTGTTGCAATAGTAACTGTCAGGCAATATAATCTCAAATTATATCAGTTACGTTAATATTCCAACTTTTAGATGAGCTTCTGTGAGACAGCTCGCATAAACTACATCACTAATCTTGAAATCGACCGGCAGCTACATCTGCATTCAGATTTTCTAAACTACAAGTCATAAACCTTCCGTTTACGAATAATCATAAATTTCTATATGCTATTAAGAAGATGTCATACGGGGGTCGAAAAAGTTTGCGCTGAATATGGATTATGCTATACTTTTTAACAGCACCATTAATAAACACCCTGATGCGATGCTACAAGATTAGACATTTCACAGCCTTAAACATCTTGCAACCATAAGCATTTAAAAAACCGGAACACACTCTTTCTTCAAGTAAAAAATTTTGAGAAGACATAATTTTCTCTCAAACAGGCATGAAAGAAAGAATTTTCGTGCATGTTTTCTATGAACTATTTTTAAATTTATGAGGACATAGAAAATCAATGCGGACAAATCATATTGCATAAGTAGTCATCTTTTGCGGAGTGAAGATTACTCAGACGGCCACAAGAAGCTCGTTCATAGGCCAGCATTTTCGGGTTATGCTGAGCAATAATTAGTGCTCAGCATATTCCAGTCCTTCTATTATTATTATTATTTCATGAGACAGCATATGCACTTCCCTCTTAACTGAAACCGGCAGAAACCCTTCAGTGAGTTTCTAATTTTAGTTGGATAGCTGGGATTATTAAACAAACCACGTTCTTCCAAGCATCATGACAAATTTTTCCATTGACAGTAATGGAAGATCTATAACTACTTGGACTGCTGTGAGCTTATCATAAGTCTCTTCGTATTCGTTCAACAACCGTCGGAATTCTTTTTTTGGGGACTTTCACGCTAATGCAGTAATTTCAAAATCTTGGCGTAAGTGCTCACACAAGTGCTTTGTATTGGCCTTATTAAGAGCTTCAGATGGAAGTCCTTGCCGTTACGTTTTGTACACAGAGCATCGGGCTCTGCGAAAGACTTAATCAAGTCTGGAATGCAAAATGATGTGGTACGCAAGTTAGTCACACACGAAAGCTCTGACCGCAGACCTGAGAGCCATAAAAAATCAAGAAATTGTCTGCATCATCGCGGTAAATTCAGCTACAAAACTTAGCATTTCCCTACTGCGTAACCTACTTCGTTGGATTGACATGGAATGCACATGGTGTCTTACTCGCAACCACCTTCTCTGCGAGGCATGTTTTACGAGTCACATGCGTTACCTATCGTTAACGTAAACAGAGCAAAGTACGCATTTGTGCAGTAGGAAGCGAAACGTATCAGACGATGCAATGAGTATTTGGATTAAGCGGAAACTAAGAATTAGCTTCCTTAGAAGCCCATGCTTACAAGTTGAAGAAATGAGTGCAGTAAGTTCCCTGTTCAAAATGAATTGCACGAATGAGCTATGTACCTCAAGAAAAACGCAAGAAACCCATTGGTTAGATATTTATAGACAGAGGGTCAGATTGAGCAACTTCTATAGAGTAAAGCTCTGTTTAAAACTCTGCGGAAAAGAGTATGCTACTTGTCTTCACGCAAATTAGGCAACGAAAACATCTTAAAAATGACGTAAGTGACCGATTTTATTGAAATGTTTTTCGATCAGGCAGTATTACATAAGTAGGCTGTAATAGTGAACATCATGCAGCATAACCCCACAATAATTTTTATGACGTTAGGATACTGACATGCTATTATACTTTTTTTTCGGGTGTTAAAAGAAGTCAAATTTGATATTAGATATCAGCTTAAGTAGTAAGTATTTGTTCCATTGATTTTCGCTGTCCATATATCAAAATATGTTTCAGAGAAGCATGCTTTCTTGTGCTGCTTTCGTAGCTGATTGCATCTTGTTTGCATTTTGTGCTCAGGGAAAGATTTACATCTGGGTTTTAAGGAATATTTTCAATTCTTTAATGAATTTGAACCGGATCTGACGTTGTCTTTGTGTTTAGGGCCTACAGTCCACAAGCTGCATATTTTCCCTGTAGGCTAACTCATGTATTCCTTTATGTAGTTATAGAGATATCAAACAGGACTCCTAAAATTTTGTAATGGATGTGGATCATTGTGTACACTTCTTGAGGAACTTTGTTAAATTGACAGGTACGATGCTACCTCGAATGGGCATTGCGCTCTCTTGGAGAGTCTCATAATAAAGAACTCTTCTAAATTCTTGGCAAACTTTTATTGAACTTAAATAAAGAAAAAAAAAAAGAATTTCTCACCAAATAAATGCAAGAAAGCACGTTTTCAATAAAATTATTCGGATTTATAAAAAGAGTAAAACACAGTAGAAAAACATCGCATTACTTAACTAGTTTATTCACGCTGCAAAAAGTGTTTGTAGAAGACCGGAAACTTCGTGAACTCGAAAACCGGCATCCTAGCCTGGTTTAAATTTTGCATCAATAACATAGCCCCCCTTAAGCTATCCTTCCAAACTGAAAGTACATTTCCGGATTTCAGATTTCAGAGTGCGGTCATTGAGTATGTATTGCCATCGAACATTTAGGCGTGCCCTTTTTTCGAAGTATTCAAGTACAGATTATTATAGGACACACAACCAACATGCACTACAAATGCACCTTTCCTTGACCAGATGGAACAGACGACAACTTTGAACAAAAAGATAGACTCACCGGGACGGGTTTATTTAGATGCTGATACTTCGAAGAGCTTGATCGGCTCTCCATTGTCAAAGCTCAAAGTTCACTTGATCTACCAGAAATTTCAAGTGGCGTATCTCATTGGTCGGCCTCATGCTGGTCGATTTTTCTCTCCTCTTGCAGCCTCGGCCTTTGGGGGGATAGTTAGCGGGCGTTTTATCTGTGTGCTTTGTGAGTCACCGCTTCGTCAGAGGAGGTGCTTGAACTTTCGTCGGGTGGTCGGTTTGGTGGTTCTTTTTCCTGGCCGAGTAGATTGGCCATCGGCCTGTCTACGTATAGCGTCCTTAAGTCTAGTGTGGTTACTTGATCCTGAGCTTCACCGACGTGATGACGTAGGACTCTGTAGGTTGCAAAGACTTCCAGATGCCTGTTGATGGAGTTGGACTCGGGGTACCAAGCCCCCAGTGTTAGCCTTTCTGCTTTGCTGTTCTCCGGCCTAAGATATTAGCTTTCTGGAGATCGAAAGTATGCCCAGTTTCTCCAACGTGCGTTGTTGGTTAAGAGTTGGGGTCTGTCCTCCGAGAGGCTGACTTGTGCTCTTGTAGGCGTGTCCGCAATTTCCGTCCGATTTCTCCAACGTAGTTGCAGTCGCCCTCATTGCATTTATTTGGTAGACAACTCCTGAGATTTCAGCTGGTGGTAGTGTGTCCTTAGGTTGCATCAGACAGCGCCGTAGTGTTGCCTGGGATCGATGGCTATGCCAAACGAGGCATCGCCTCGGAGACTCGTTTAATGTAGGGCATGGCCCTAATAAAATTTCAGGTTGCTGCTCATTTGGCCGTCTTCTGTGCTCTCGGCGCCTGCTTCTCTCGATAAAATATCTGGGATAACCATTGGCTGCAAAAACGTTCTGAAGTTATTCGGCCGTTTTATCTTCCAGCGTGCTGCAGTGTGTTTCGACTCTTTGAAATAGAGTTCAGACACAGTGACGTTTGTGAGACAGAAGATGATTGCTGTTGAAGTGTAGGATTTTTCTTGTGTCGGTGGATTTTCTGAATAGTGTGGTTTGCAGTTAGCTATTTGTACAACAGCGCACAAGCACGCCAAGGAATGATGGTTGTTTGTTTGTTCCTGATCCCATCGCGAATTATATGTCCAGATCAACCTAGTTCAGCAGTTCTTCTAGGTACTTAATGAGAATTGTTTTGCCAACGACGGTGTCATCGACATAGCGAGCCCAGAACTTTGATTGATGCTTAGAGAACACTACGTGTTCTATCCGTTGAAGAACGACGTCAGCAATCAGGCCTGCATAGGGGGCCCATGGGAGTGCCCTTACTTTTTCGAACATTTGTCTACCAAAGGTGAAATAGGTCTTGGAAGGGTTTTGCAGAAGGTCGAACAAATGTTCAGAATTTAGGGTCTTATCCCTCTCCTCATTGCGCTTTGCCAGCAATTGGTTTACAACGTCCGTCGGGAGTTGCTGTGAAATGGAAGTGAAAAGCGGAACGACATTAAAGGATACTATGGATTCTTCTGGCTATAAAATCAGGTATTTTATACGATCGAGGGATCGGTTCACAGGTACTACTGTTTATGGTGGGCTTTGGTCCAGAAAATTCAGACGACCGAACATCCATTTTGGCAAACCGTACGTCGGAGTGGCACAAAGAGATACGATTGGTCTGCGTGGGGCATTTTGCTAGTGCACCGTCGACAAACGACAGTATTCGTTTGAGGATCAAACGTGTTCTGAAGACCTGTGCTCTATATGAAATAGCGAGCTGCATTTGACAGATTTGGCAACCAATACCATATCGGTCTAGTAGTGTACGAACATTTTCAATTAAAATACACCCTGGGTATTTCTGACTCAGTGGACGCGTGCAAACACATTGTCGCCATGTTTGCGATCTGGACGAAAAGTTGGAAAAAATGCAGCAACCCATTGCCTCCGACGGCTTTTCACAGCCAGGGAATATCCCAGCAACTTTATCAAGAAGTTTCGGCGTAACTTTAAAACGCCAAAGGGATCGGTGTATCATACCACATAGTGTTGTTTTGTTCTAAATACTTGCCAACTTACTGGAACAACGGGTGATTTAAAGACCACGGAATTCTGAAACGACAGTCAGCCATCAACTGGCCAAAAATTGATCAGACTGAATCGGACTGCGGCACAGTCAAAAATACTGGTGAAACGAGCATAGAAATGCGGTCCGTCAGAGAGACAAACTTCTTCAAAAGCCTCTTATTCGTCCTTTTCGGGGTATAAATATGATTTCGAACTGGTGGTCGTTGATGGACTGCATGACCGTATTTCCCGCCAGCTAAGTAGATATTTACATATATACAAGCAGTAGCCCATCCAAAAGGCATACCAACCCGCCGTCCACTTATAAAGTTCCACAGGAACAAATCATCAGGACAAAGCAGGGAGCAGACTACCCGTGAATTTCAAGTGAACACTTCATTCTCATTCAGCCATAAAAACGAATTTTAAAGAGAGGTCAGGATATCAGAGGTGACTTAGACATCTTCCGCTGGTGACGGGCATGCTATTTTGCGCGACCCAGCTCTAGATTAAGTTTCGCACCAATCCTGCTGCACTCTTAGCCAGGCCTCATAATCAGATTTTTCTGGAAAGTTGCGAGGTTCTGCGGGGATCTCAGCGGATTTACTTGCAGTTGCACCTCGTTAAGTGTGCTGTTGTTTAAGTTTGCATTCTTTAAAGTTCGTCGGTGTTTTACAATGTTAACAGGAAACTTTTGCATTACAGGGACAAAAGCCAGTGTAAGTCCGGTGCCAGGGATAGTCATATCAGTAATCTGCCTGTTTGGCCTCCTGGGAATCATTGCATACTTACTGGTGGATCATTATCGCCGCAAAGAAATGGAAAAGGAACACAAGTAAGTTTTTGAAGTGGCTCTTCGTATCTGAAAACAATACCCTGTTTTCGTAAATTAACCCCTCATCGTTTAATTTCTGATTCAGACCAGATGCGGTACCTCGTGGAAGTTTTACGTACGCCACCGACTGTGTATCATCACGGTGAGTGAATCGTATGTTATTTAGTTATGACGTTTCCTCCTTTATGTGGTAGTTTGTAGTGAGATGCCGGACTAATTTACCTTTGACAATTTAGTCCCATTTTCTTTGACCGGATTGTTTGTTTGAATGTGACGAGAAAAGACACACCTGGACAACCCGCCTTGCTGGCCTGCTTTGCTGTTGCGCTCTGCTGTCAGGTTACTTAACGTTCGGAATCTCTATATTATTCACCGCTCAGTTTTACTTGCTGCCTTCAAGACTAGGGGCTCGGGAGATATAACTCGTTAGTTCGTGAGAACATTAGCATCTTTGTCAAGTTAAATAAGTGTAATATTGCCTTGCAGACGATAGAAGGCTGTGAATCGGTATTGTGTAGCCAATGTTATACGGCCATAAACGTCAGGAATTGTCTGGGCAAGTTTTTCGACTACGTACGCCAGAGCTCTAAATCAATAATTCTCGCCACCTTGGAGTGTGCGACTTTTCGTAGATCCATAACTTTCACTGTTTCATATATGATTAAAACTCACGAACAGATAGCTGTCAACATTCAGTAGTTTCCCTGCTTCGAATATATGGACTGTTAACTCCATAGATTCGCAGGCATAAACAGCATTTGCATGAAATACTTGGCATGCATTAAACTGTTTTTTTATGGATTATAAACGATTTGTGATTATTTTCAAGGAAAGAGATACTTCCAATTTCTTAAAGACGACGGGATTTATGGCCTTCGCCCGGGACCTTCTTCTGCATTGAGGTAGAGGGCTGACTTATTTCACGCAGAAATTTAATCAGACTTTTCATGAAGCGGACAAAGATATTGTCCTGTCTACTGGGTATAATCCCGTGCCCTTGACGCAATATGTGGTCTCGTTTTAATTTTTTACCGCAAAAATAATTAAATCCACATTCTAATTTTTTTCGCATGAGTATTTTAAACATTTTGTTGACAACGTCGAGAGACACAAAAAAACCGTGCGGTTAAAAGTTTGCATAAGGTATCTAGATACCGGATTTTCCAATGAAACTGCGGGCTGGTATGATGACTTTATTTGTATTTTGCCTGCATTTGTTCCAGTTAACTCTTTCTTAACAGAACTTAAGATTTGTATAAATTTCGTGCGCAGATCAAGATTTTTTATTTTTATTTTCTTTAGAAATTGACTGCTTACTTGGAGTAAGTCAGTTTAAACCGAGATCTATAGGTGTAGATCGACATTTGATGTATGACTCCTTTGGTCGATGTCTATCAGCCGCACGGGGGATAACCGCGTACTATTCATTACTTGCTTACAGGCAGCCAGTAGCATGCATTGGGTGGCAGGATACCATACTAACAGCAGAGGTAGTAGGGTATGTTGTTAATATGGTATTCTGCATCCCAATATATACTACTAGCTGCCTGTCAGCAGTTACTGAATATTACGCCGTTATCTCGCTGTGAATGGTGGGCATAGCCCAAGCATTTATACATCGAATTTCGGTCTACGCCCATAGGCCTTAGTTCAAACTAATTCACTCGAAGTTGGCATTTAATTTCTCAGCAAAGTTGAAGGCATTAATTTCAAAACTGGAGTACCTATGAGATGGTACACGGAAAATACTGGAGTACCCACTAATGAGCCGAGTTTCTCACGGCTGTGCCATGAAGTGGCAGAATATCGACGAAACATTTGTCGGGGCCTTTAGCTAGTACCCGTGCTGGTAATGTGGTATGCTGCAACGTAATTTATCTGGGAAAATTTACCCTTGCAGATGATATTAATAATTTTGTAGTGGTTTAATTTTGCGTCCTTATAGACAGCGAAATTGCTGTCAAGCCAATATGAGGCTGGAGATACACAAAAGGGAGTCCCTAACACGCACGCATTTGCTAAGATTTCTCGTTCCATACCAAATCCGATGGATTACTGACATTGGTATCTCTATCAACTGCTTACCCGCTTGTCTGTCTAACTCAAAATGAATATTCCTATAAGACTCGCTGCATGCTTTCAAGTAGGTCTGTTTAATGACCGTTAAATGACTTCTGAAATAGGGAATCATTCACAGACTTTTGCCATTTTGTAATTTTCGTTTTAACAACTTCCTTTTCCGACAAATTGCAGGCCGCCCGCGGGAACCCTAACCTACGAGGATGGTTATATGTTACCACACGCAACTTCACCGCCTGCATTTCGATCCAGTGTTAAAGGCCGCGATGCTACCGCCACGTTGCCTGGGCTGCCAGAATCACTACCTTCAAAAAGGACGCCTCAAATAAGGCCCAAGAAGCCGGATAATTTGTCCTTTCTTAAAAACATTCTGAAACGTGATAGCGTTTACAATCCAGAATATGTGGAGCCACGCCAAGGTATGTTACCCGTTAAATGCTTAACAACTGCACAATTCTGAACGATTTATCAAAAGACCAGATACCAGCGGTAAGGTGATTACCGCAGGAGTGCTACACTAGTTGGGATGAGTTGCAGGGATTTGTCGATTTTACCCCCTTTTCAGCGAGTTTATTAGAGGACAATCGTTTATATCCTACCTGTAAATGTAATCTGTCCACCTACATCACCCTCTTCGCAGTCTTAGAATAAGAAAGGGTTCGTATTATGTTGTTCGTAAAGACTGACCGACATTTTATTTGCTTTAAAGAATTAAAGTACTTGTTGTTTTGCAGGGTTTTATGCAAGACTACATGCTTACTACTTAATGTGTGCTTTCTGATACTTCCTCTATGAGTTCTTTCGAAGAACAAATTTTGAGCATATTGACCCTTAAAAATGAAACATAAAGAAGAGGAGATGCGTTCCCTCCACTAACGTGAGTTCTAACTCGGCTAAAATGCTTCTTACTTAGTGACCGATATCAACAGAGCATGATACAAGGGACAACTAGGATCAAATAGCATGATTATGGTTTTAAAAGCCTTAGCTGTACCAGCCGTAGTTTATGGTAACAATTCGGTGGTCTATAACTGGATACGTCTGTTATATATTTTTGAGGTCAATAAGAACATCACAACAGAGACTTACTTTAACCAGCTTGAAGAACTGCAAGTTCACTTAAGGAAACAGGGACCTTTACTTGTAAATAGGCCTAGTCCAATTCTGCTCCGCAAGAAAACTTGGCCACATTTTGCCAGGATAGCATCGCAGAGACTCAGTGACTTGGAATATGAGACTTTCTTACACCCTCCATTTTCCCCTATCTTTCACTCACTGGCTATTACTTTTTTCAAGCGTCTGGAAACCTTTCTAAGCAATAGAACTTCCAAGAATAAAACTGGCATGAAAGCTTTATTTAAGGATTTCTAAGCGTCAGTGCCAGTGGATTTTTATTGACAAGGCCTAAAGAATCCCGTTGAGCCACGCCAGACATGTATGAATGTCGAGACATCATATATTGATTAATTTCATCATTCGTAGTGTTAGATGTTTGTATCTAAAGTCAGACAGCATTTTCCTCAAATTAGACTAAACGTCTAACATCTCTATTCTTTCATACTCTACGTAAATGGATGGGTTCTCTCACTTTCCTCCTTACCATTCAGATAACTTGGAGAACAACTATGAGGAGCTCCATCCGGATGCAGAATAAAGACGGTTCTGATTTTGTTTTTTAAAAAATTGACTTGAATTGTTATGTAGAGAATAATCAAGGAGGCTTATTACATGTTCGATTGCAAGCAACTCTTTGGTGCCAACAATCTGCGTGTACACTGACTACTATATATACACTCATTTTTAATGTGCTGCTAAATTTAATGAGGTTAACACAAAAGCCTCTTTTATGGTGCGCTGTAATTTTAATTTTTTCACCTGACAAATGTCATTCATTCCTTTTCGATTTGTTCCATGCACTGTCATTTAATATTGCTCACCAATCTTAACTGCCAATACGCATTTGAACTCATTAACATTTTAAATCGAAACTGGTATAATGACAAAACATACAACACCTATAAGTGACAATGAGTCTCTTGGAAAGCCCGCGGAATTTCATTGGTCTTCGATTTATACCATTGTAACATGCCTACCAATTTGGTTTAGGTGGGTATGCTGTATTAGGTTACTGAGTGGTTTTTTCGCAGATTTCAAATAATTCACTGTGACCCAACTGTGAAAAAAATCGATGCCTCGGTGGGGTTTGAACCCACGACAGCAAGGGGAGGATTTAGTACAACCAACGCGCTAACCATCTGAGCTACGAAGCCCCGAGGGACAACACACGTTTAAGCACATTTGGGTCAAGTTTACCCGCCCAACCTACCGCAACGTCGGGAATCCACGAAATCCGATACAGTTAGCTGACTGAACATGCAGGACTTCTTAAGTAATACACCTAGAATTCACTAAGTGGCCATCAGGCTGACGTAGTTCAGAGGTGTTTTGACAGATTTCAAATAGGCAGTATGTTATTACCGGTAATAACACACTGCCTATATCATACGCCGCTGTGTGGCTGCTGGTTGGACTCCAGAGAGAGCCCTTAAGGCACAACGGAACGAGTGAGTTCCGTAAGAACTATCGGTGAGCGCCTCCAACCACAGAATTCAAATAATTCACTTTGACCCAACTGTGGAAAACTCGGTGCCTCGGTGGGATTTGAATCCACGGCAGCTAAGGGGGAGGCTTTAGTACAGGCTACGCTGTAACCGTCTGAGCTACGAGGCCCCACCGGGCGACGCGAATTCATTAGGTTACGTTTGTGGCTAGACGTATGGAAATAAATAAATCCATGGATAGTGTTAAGGTTAGATTTTAGGTTAAGATTAGAAATAACTTTGCCTGCCGCATACCCTCTCACCCGGTTAGGCTTTCTCCGAACGGCGACCCTGCATTACATGTTCTCGCACTTTTGCGTACTAAAATCGAAACTTTTGAATTTTGCGGTCTGTCCCAGTACGTCCTTGGAGTAAAAAATAAACGTATGGCAGAACTACGAGTTTTCGCGATGCCTTCCGCAAACTGCATTAATTGTCACATTAATCTGCCCTAGCGATAAAGCCAATATTAAAGTCCTTCCCGTATAACAAGAGTCCCTACGCTTATTTTTCACGGTGGAGCCACATATCCAATACTTGCAGTCTTATTTATGACGATCTCGAATTTCTAATTTCCACATGCTGGTATCGAAAAATTTTACTCTCATTCCGGATAAAAACCACGCCACTTATTCAACGCGATTTGCTGAACGACCGATGGAGAGTTCAAATTACAGTAGATGTGCTAACTCATGAAATGTCAACCAAAATTTCGAAATGCGTTCTCACTTCGAAAAGATAAATTAAGTAGTGTTGTAAAATTGATCATGCTGCAGCATAAATCTATAATTATCCAGTTACCTCAGGGTGTCGGCTTTCGAAAGAACTTATGTTCGGCTGCATGCAAGATCTATACTCTGCAAAAAATGCCTACGTATGTAGTATGTAATTTTCTCATTGATTTTCGATGCCCTTGAAAATTCAGTAATATTTCATGGAAAACATGCATAAAAATATTCATTTTTTTACCTATTCGGTAGAAACTCACGTCCTCTTCTAATTTTATACTCAAAAGAAAAGTAAAATTCGGTTTTTAAAAAGTTTTCAATTGTGAGATGTTTTAATACCGTTAAATGGCCGTTTATGAGACGTCATATATCTGCATTTACGAATGCGGCTTGTAAAGTTAACAATATTGCTCAAATCCACTGCTAAATTTTATGAACCTCATATGGTCTCCTCTTAACAGTGTAGAGAAATGCATGCTTTTCCGTACACGGAAAATATACAGCTTGAAGTTTTGAAACCCCAATTGCAAGTGTAACAGCAGGTCGGGTTCAAAATTATTCGGGAATTAGAAACGTTTTGTAAAACCGAATTATACTCTTCTTTTGAGCATGAAATTGAAAGAAGACGTGAATTCCTACCGAAAAAGTAAAAGAACGAATATTTTTATGCATGTTTTGCATGAAATTTAATTGAATTTTCAAGGGCATCGAAAATCAATTAGAAAATTGCATGCTACACAAGTAGTCATTTTTTGCAGAGTATAGATCTTGCATGCAGCCAAAAATAAGTTATTACGAAAGCCGACACCGTGAGGTAACTGGATAATTATAGATTTATGCTGCAACACGATCAGTTTTACAACACTACTTAATTTATCATTTTGAAACGTGGACGCATTTCGAAATTTTGGTTGACATTTCATGAGTTAGCACATCTACTGTAAGGTTCAAGCCGTGGTTTCTAGCAGCGTATTCTTTATAATCGACAAAGACAAAGGAGACTGGAATGGCCGTTTCTGGCTTATTAGCCGTCGTCAGCCAGTCATGCCCAACCCCGAAGTGTGGAACACCAGGGGTTCGATCCCACGACCTGTTGCTTAGAATTCTAACGCTTCTAGCCACTGAGCCACAGGCTCGTTGTTCTGTCGGTTGCGATCGGGAGTGTACAATAGTAGAGGGGCTATTACCGGTGGTTCTTACGGAACTCACTCGTCCCGACAATCATTTGGACGTAATTCCGTCTCGCGGTCATTGCGACCGCATGCTCCCTTCACGCATGCACCACCACTTAATACTTCTCCAATGTCAAGAGGGCTAACTACACCAAGAGCGTCACCGTTACTGACACCAGAAGATGAAGATGCGATCACTGGGACAAGAAGTTTATTTGCCTGACGTTTCGGATTCTTACTCGAATCCATCATCAGAGACATTCGCAGATAGAGGTGAAGGTGGCACCAGGAGTGCAGTATTTATAGCACGTGGCTGCCGTGGGACCGTATGCGCACTGCAATTAACAGTTCTCACAATCGCCGCTGGGGTCGTAATTGATGCGGCGGTGGCTTGGCGGTCCGAGTCCGAGTTGTTAATTGCCGCGATTTCGTCATCCGTGCTCGATGCTGGTGTGACGATTGCTCGGCAAACTGGCTCACTGTCACCGTGATAATTGCTCACCCACGCATTCCCCACGTGACTGATTCTCCTGCCCAGGGAAAATTGCAATACGGAATAGGCCACCGGGAGGCCATTGTGTTTGTTGATGGATTGCGGGCCTGAGAACCATGACTCGAGTAGCTCGCGGCTCACGCGGTTGTCACCCCTTGCGAGGATTTCGGCCTCTTGAAATTTGAAAATATGGCCGGGTCCCGTCGAGTGTGCCGCCACCTGAGAGTTAGCGTCTTTCCGCCTCACTGCTGCTGCGTGCTCGGCAAGTCGCGTACGGAGTAATCTCCCAGTTTCTCCGACATAATTGCTTTGTCCGCAACTACACCAGATCCGGTAAACGACTCCAGACGTTTCCTGCCGTGGCAGCGGGTCGTTTGGCCTCATTACTTGGCGCTTATGGTTGCTTCCGGCCTGTGTGCAACCCCAACTCCAAGTGGAGTGAGAAGACGACTGACGGCTTCCGAGACGTTCTTCACGTACGGAAGAGCCCGCCAAAATTTGGGGCTAGTTGGATTTGGTCTCTGGTGTCCTTTTCATATGCACTGGTTGACAAAGTTGCGCGGGTAGCCATTGGCTCTCATTACCCGTCGAAGATATTGTAATTCAGCAACCTTGTCTTCCATTTCACTGCAGTGCGTCTCAACACGCCGGTATAGCGCGCTTACGCAACTGCGTTTGTGACTGATCGGGTGGTTGCTATTGAAGTTCAGTATTTGCGTCGTATTTGTCGCTTTCCTAAACACTTTGGTTTTTAGGCCACCACAATCTTTGCGGCAGACGAGGACATCCAGGAACGCCAGCTGATTGTTTTCCTCCTCCTCCATCGTAAATTGAATGTCCGGGAAGACGGCTTTGAGTTGTTCTTTGAAAGTCAGCACCTGATCCCGTTCGATGACGACGAAGGTGTCATCCACATACCGAGCCCAGAATTTCGGTCTGTGATGTCGGAAAACCAGCGACTCCAGCCGTTAAAGGACCGCCTCGGCTATGAGTCCCGAAATCGGCGAACCCATTGGCGTTCCCTTCACCTGCTCGTAGATTGTTCCGTCAAATGTAAAGTACGTCTTGAGACAGAACTTCAGGAGCTGGATGATTTGGGCGTGTCCGAGGCGATTCTCCGTTTCGTCGTACTTCTCTCGTAGGAGTAGTTCGATTGTCTCGACTGCCAGGTCCTGTGGGATAGAAGTAAAAAGGGACGTGACATCAAAGGAAACCATGATATCGCTTGGCAGGAGACTTACTCCTTTAAGTTTCTCCAAGAATTGTGTTGACGAGCTGACTGTGGTGTTCGAATCGGAGGTCAGAAACTTGAGACGTTGGAACAGCCACTTTGCCAGTCCGTAGGTTGGAGTGCCCTTTAGTGATACGATAGGCCGGAGAGGAGCGCCCTCTTTGTGCACTTTTGGGAGACCGTAGAATCGGGCTAGGGCCGTTTCTTGTGCTCTCGCCATGCGTCGGTCGATTGGCGATATTGCACCCGAGTTCTCCATTGCCAACAGCGTCGCGTTAATCTCGCGTGTCAGCGTTTTCATGGGGTTGGATTCGCATGGGACATAGGACTGACGATCCTCCAACAAGCTTTTGACCTTTTGATTGTAGTCTGTCCTGTCCAATACGACCGTTGAACGCCCCTTGTCCGCAGGCACGATAACGAGGTCCTTGTCGGCCCTGAGTTCCTTAAGTGCATCGCGCTCGACCTTGGAAAGCACATCGCGCGGCCTATGAGCCATGAGGAGGGAGGACACTTGGTGTCGAATGAGGTTCTTCGTTTCGTCTGTCGCTCCCGTCTGGCTGAGGATTGATTCCACTGCTGCGATCATGTTGGCAGGTTTGGCATCGGCTGTGTTGAATGAGGCCTCATGCCGTAAAACCTGCATTTGTTCCTCCGTCAGCTCCTTTGACGACAAGTTGTGCACCAGTTTGTCGTTCTTGGATGACATTGGAGCAGGCAGCTTACGAAATTTGCTCTCTAGGGCTGCTTCTCGCGTTGCTTTATGTTCGCGGGTTCGTTCGGCCAGCCTCTGCTGAAGCAGTTTTATGCCGTCCTCGCCCATGAACACCACCGGCACCGTTACTGACTCGGCACCACCATCGGCACGGTAGTCACAGTTATTTTCGGTCCGTATTGCCACCACGTATTCACTAGAAGCATCGGCTCGATCGGTCACATGCGGACACGTTTTAGAGAGACTGACAAATCACTGTGTCTGGGATCCTGAAAAAGACCCGTCATTCTCGCTTCGCATACCCACACAGCCTTAGAACATAAGGCACTGAAATTGCATGTGCTCATTCGGCCACATACGCAGCTATGGAAATCTTAGGCAAAAAGTAGCAATCTGGATTCCATCAATCCTAACAATCAACACAAACACCTCTCTCGCACCTTATGAACCTACTTCAAAAGACAAACAAACATGTCCCTTCCGCAAGCCCTTCTTTCTCGTCTAGACAAGGACGCAATCTGCTTTGCATTAGTCGTAATGACAGGCAAAACATTTTAATGCAGAACAGGTAAGTCTCCTTCAAGTGGTTTGGTACACAGACTTGGAGGGAGGCCGTATGTTGCCCGTGTAGACGAGCTGTTCGACTTTGTTAGCAACCACGCCAATCTCAAAACCAGTGTATTTGGAGGCTCGAACGACTGAGTGGAGCACTAAAGATGGGCGATGGATGAGGAATTCATCCCAACAACTAACCGATGCACTCCGCACTGAAGCGTTTGAACCCACAACGACGCGCCAGAATTCGTGGTTGCGAATATTGCTGATTGACGGGATAACTTGTTAATCGTGTTTAGAACTCTCTATGTGGAGTGAGTGATTGGAAAACTGGCAGTTAGACCCAGCGGCTCTTCTAATATAACCTTAATGGCACTCTCACGTACACCAGATCCGAGTCGTCCTCCGTGAAAGCGCGGTGCATTCTACGTGCACCAGAATGTGTGTGGAACGGGTAGACGGTCCGTTAAGATTTGATAGTCACTAAGCACGAGTCTACTGCCGGTCGTCTTAACAGTGTTTTGTCATCAGAAGAGAATGCGTTGAGTGCCGCAGAAGTTTGCCCTGCTGCGAATCCATTCATTCGCAAGTCATCATTGCTGAGGCCACTTCATAGCGCACACAATGGGCTCGTCGCGTAGGAAGGACGAGTTGTCACAAATATGACAAATGACAGGCGCTCACGGGGAGAGATTGGTTTTAATCTCACTTTGGAAATATTGATTTCGACCACCAATAATCAGAGGTTGAAGCGTCGCATGGACAACTGCCATGATATTAGGCATCTTTGCTATGCAAAGAGCGTCAGACAATTTAAATTTCCCCCGGTAAACGTCGCCCAGCTTTTTGACATGCCGCTAAAAATTGCATTTTTATTACAACGAAATTAAAAAGCCCGCCTCCACACGCATTCACGAACACCAGTTGGCGGTGAGGAGGCGAAACCAACTATCTAAAATGGCCACGCACACATTAGATACCTGGCATGAGTTTGTCAGTTCTATTTTAAAAGCGGCCACCGTTGAAACTGGACAGCGGTGCCGGAATGAGATTCTAAATATTGTCGCATCGTGATCGGGGTCCAAAAACACTTCTAAAATAATCTGGATGCTCGACGTCTGCCTTGGGTCAAACCAACAGGAAGTATTCACCAGTACTTATTTTCATCCGTTACCACTGCCTCTGGTACTACAAATGATTCATTGGTGTTGTTTGAATCTCTACAATGTTTCAAGGGAATTGCAGGAACGCTGCTGACTTCCAGGTGTAAGCTTCCCACTTACGGTTCACCTACAGACGAAGTCCGGTATGGTTGATGGACTGAAACGTTTGGGACGAGACCGTACTGCCCTCGTCCATAGGGACCAACTCGCACTTTTCAAGACTTTTGAAAATGTGATAATGAACTCCACATCTCATAGCGATACGACTGGCAATGACAGAATACTTTCTGCCCCGCTGTGTGCGAGAGGTAATACAGGGCGATATTCAATTTAGAAATATACCCTTATACCGAGATGGAAGGGAAGTATCTATCTAAGTAAACCTACTACTAAACACTTCAAAAGATTTATATGCATTACATTTTAGCATAACAGACATTAAATTCAGTGAATCTGTTGAAAACAATACACACAATATTCAAACCAAAGAGACATATGATTTAAGTGTTTTCAACAGCACACGTAATTTGCGAGATAACACTAGATCCGTTGTAACTAATACACGGGCCGCCTAACAAGTGTCAACGATTGTGTGAAATAATATACGTCCACGTTCGCGGTAGGCATGAACAAAGTGCTGATTTATCTTAACAGGGCTTCACCGTCTATAAGAACGGTATTTTTTTAGTAATTATATATCCATTTTGTGTTTAAATGCGCCGGGGTAAGTCTATACCAAACACCGAATATCCGGGTACGACAAATTGCCTCGATGTATGAGAGACTAAGCACGCAGATTACCTTTTGTAGCCTACGTTAAGGGAATACTGAAGTGCATGACAGAGTCACTATTCCTCCCAATTCGATAGGTCTGTATGAGATCTACTCTGATCTGCCTGCATTCTTAAGGAAACAGGCAAGGTTCATCAAGGAAGGGTTTCAAGTCTTTTAGCACATTCTTTCCCTTATTAAAACACTTTAAAGTAGCGTTAAAATCCCCTTTTCAGTCAGAGGTGTCACGTCTGATTTGCGTCGTCTAGCTGCGAACAATAGCTACCCAACGAACTCTTCCAGATAGATCTTCATCTGCACCTACCGAAGACGTTATGGGACCATTACTCTTCACCCTTTATGTTAATGACAAATTTCAGGAAGTCGACTGCGGCAAAATAATGTTCGCCGACGACGCTAGGCTCTGGCGAATCATTTAGTCATAATAACCAGAGACCCCTTCAACACGATCTGCACCGACTGCAAACCTCGTCCGAGCAGTGGCTTTCTGATTTCAATGTGCAGACGTGTGCCGTCCCTCATCTGCGCCCAACCAACTGTCATTCAAATGGGATCCTAAGGATATATCACCTGAAAGACACCGCACTTTCCGCAGAATCTTCGTATAAGGATCTCGGCGCTTAGATACAGAGCAACATAAAACCAACACTTCAGTGCAACAAGGCCGCAAAAAATACCATGGGAGTGCTCCAAGCGCCCAAATGTGCGTTCGTAACCTTTGACAAAGACCGTTTTGGGGAGTATACGGCATAGAAACGTGGCGGCGACGGCTAGTATAGGAGTAAATATGCCTCCAATACGTACAACGTCGTGCGACAAAGCTGGTGAACGGTTTAAAAATTTAATCCTACATAGAAAGACTGAATTGCCTAATCTTAATCCCTCTGAGTTACAGGCAGCGAATAGGTTATCTTATCGTGGTTTACAAGATTATATATGGCCTTGAGCGTGGATTAAGCTTTGAGGACATGATTCAGTGGCACCTCGCGCCCAACCGTCGTGGTCATTCGATGAAGCTTCGCACAAAAATGTCCAGGCTGAATCTTCGTTCTGATATTTCCACACGAAGCGTAGTGAAACAATAGAACAGCTACCCTCAATCGGTTGTGGAGGCGACGTCGCAGCAACTCTTCAAGAAACGCTTGGATGATTACTTCTGTCCCCTCCCTTTCCTCAACAGTCTTGGCTTAAGCTAAATACCCTGCGATTACCGGTAGTATTTTCCTTTGAAACAATGCTATTCAAACGAATAAAGTACCGTTTTAATAGCGAAGTTTACATTGTTCGTGTGCAGTCGTATCTAACGAGCTGACATGTACTCAATATGGTTTTCGAAGGCCTTCTTGCGCAAAAGCTTATTTCGCCGTCGTACCTGCTAGGGGCTAGGGTTAGCGTTAGGGGTTAGGGTTAGGCGCTAGGGGTCAACGATAGGGGTTTGGGTTAGGTAATTTTAAGGGTCGAGGTTAGGGGTAGAGTTAGGGGTTAGGCTGGGGCATGTATACTGCAGGTATGGCTGCGAAGTATAATCCAACCAGCTTTGCCTATTACTCTTACCAAATAAATGTATATGACATGTTAAGTGAAATAGACGTGACAGGAGACAAAAAGTAAGTTTGTAATAATCTATGCTTCCCGGTTCGTGCCAACTCAGATCCTCAGGGTTTTCTTGATTATTAAACACGTTAGAATGTCATTTATTTGTCTACAGATATCCAGTGAAGCAAACTAGATGTGCTTGCAATAGGTAGCATGTTCCTACAATTTTTGTTTTCTAGTGCGAAGTTAAGTATTTTGCGTAGGAAATAGAGTAATCTGTTACTTGAATGCTACCCTAGGATGCGGGTCGAAATACCGTTTCGACTTGAGTTTAGCCAGAGATAGAAACTTTGAATTAAAACCATAACTCACGAAAAAGAAACTCAGAAAAAGGAACGATCGCTGGAACAAGGTCTTTATTCGCTTGACGTTTCGGATTCTCACTTGAATCCATCATCAGAGACAGTAGCAGAAAAGGTGACTCGTGCACAGGAAGCTGCAATTTCCTTGGTGACCCGCTTGATAACGATTCATATAAATGTCCAACTTAACATGTTACTGCAACGTTGTCGGTCACGTATATACTTGTGGAAAATGTGTAGTAGTGAGGGACTGCAACCTGTGCATCCGCAGTTTTCTGAATGTTAAGTAAAGAGCGGCAGATGGTTCTTCCCACGTACAATTGAGGTTTTAAATGGAAATATATACAGTCATTTCGAGATATAGTCATTTATGTAGTTTGCGGGAAAAAATGCATCAAACGTGCATAACGTCCCGCTATACTTTCCCTCCATCGAACAAAAATTCCTCCAAAAAAGCTACCTCTATGGTTTCAAGAGATTCGCCTCCCCTCTCAAAGTTTTAATGCATTAATTATATTTTCAGGACGGTTAAAGGATGATGTTTCGACGATGGGATCTTTACCGATATGTTTTTAAAGACTTTACAATAGGTCTTGAAAGAAGAGATTAAAATAATTTTCTTGAAGGACTTAGGTCCTGTTCAGTGTTTTCGTGCACACCAGAGCTCCCTATACAATGGTACTTCGTCTTCGACTGAAAC